GCTGGATTTTTTTTAGTTTGTTCACCTCGAGTCTTGCTGTTCTGACACGTGTTCGGAGGATTTGGCTCTTGATGGGTATATGGTCTGCAGGAATCCCAGACACCAAAATGCTATCTGGCGCTTTTCGCCTGTCTTGACTTGGGCCAAGGGTTTTGGATCCGATGTTTTAAGTTTAGGAAATAGAGGTTTGAAAAACCCTAAACCCTAAACCGAAAACATAAACCCTAATCTGTCAGATTCTTGCTACAACGAACCCCTCCCCGAGGGCATAGCGGGGGCTCGGCTTCCGGAAGAAGCCGCCCAACAACGACTGCCGTTATGTCCGCTGATGTTGCATCCGCTGCGACCTCTGGCGCTCAAACCCTAGACCCTAATTCCATCTAAATCCTAAACCCTAGACGGCCCTTAACCCCCTGCAGTCCGTTTTTGCCAAGCCCCCCTAAACCCATCACCCTGAGGCTCGAAAAAGCCCAGCAGCCTTCTATAAGATGGTATTTGGGCCCACAAGCCTTAACATGTGAAGTCCTGAGAGCCTTGGGGTTTAGGGTTTAGGGTTTAGGGTTTAGGGTTTAGGGTTTAGGGTTTAGGGTTTAGGGTTTAGGGTTTAGGGGTTGAGGTGATCCATGAGTTTTATAGTGAGGTGTAGGTTGGGCTGGCTGGAAAAGTTGCTCAAAGGCTTCGCAGGGAGTCCGGGGTTCAGGAAACTAAGCCTCTAGGGATTACGGATTAGGGTTTAGGGATTAGGGTTTAGGATTTTTCGGGGTCTCTGGCTCTGGAAGGTAGGCCTTTAGGACATTATATTATTATATATTTTCCCGTAGTGCTTTTAAACCCTAAACCCTAAAACCTAAACCCTAAACCCTAAACCCTAGTTTGATTTGGAAGGCCTATAAACCCTAAACCCTCGGGGAAGCTTCCTGCTTGGCTTCAAGTTTCCGCACCTTTTCTGTTGCGAAGCGAAGCCCCAAAGACTTCATTGGGTTTAGGGTTTAGGGTTTTGGATTTAGGGTTTAGGGTTTAGGATTCAGGGTTTAGGGTTTAGGATTTAGGGTTTAGGGTTTAGGGTTTTAACCTTCTTCAACGCAGTAGCAGTCTTGCTCCATGCTCTCGTAGGTATCGTTCATCAAGTTTTTCTTGGGCAGGGGATTCTGGAGGTTCTGAGCGGTTTAGGGGTTTTAGGGTTTTAGGGGTTTAGGGTGTAGGGTTTAGGGTTTCTAGCAGCCTGAGACAGCCAAGGCGCCCACGCCCAGGGGGCAGGGACGCGCCCAGCAGGTGGAACGCATCATTCGGATGTGTCACCTGCGTCATGGGACTTAGTGTATATAGGTTATAATTAAGGCGCCCCTAAACCCTACACCCGAAACCCCTTAACCCGAAGCCGCAAAGGTCACTATACACTTATGTGATCTTGATTACTAACTCCCATCCATGATCCTCCAAGTAGTGTCCCCCGAATGGCGTGAAACCCTAAACCCTAAACCCCACCGAAAAAAGTGCCCAATGTCAGGTATGAAGCTCCTCAGACTCTAAGAACGAAGGATATTCCAGCCAAGTCAAACGCACTCCGTCCTACAACACCCCGAAGCAACCCAGCAGAGTCACCAGATTCCAGACGCCAGGCCGAAACCTCCAAAGCCCAAGCTCTAAGCTGGAAGCTCTCTGTGGGCATTGGGTACTCTCAAATCTGAAATCCCCGAAGCCTCTCCAAGCCCTATGATTCCTAAACCCTAAACCAACCTTCTCATGAAGGCCGACCAGCGCTTCGCAGAGGTCGTTGCCTACATGAAGGATCCCCACTTTTATGCTGCTCTATATGTATGTGTGTGTGATCAAGATGCGGTCTTGTATGTGTGAGTGTATGCCTGTATGTATGTATGTATGTATGTATGTATGTATGTATGTACGTATGTATGTATGTGTTTATGTATGTATGTATGTATGCATGTATGTATGTATGCATGCATGTATGTATGTATATGTATATGTATCTGTATCTGTATATGTATATGTATATGTATATGTATATGTATATGTATATGTATATGTAAATGTACATGTATATGTATGTATGTATGTATGTATGTATGTATGTATGTATGTATGTATGTATATATGTATATGT